TCTTTCCCTCTCTGTTCAAATTAAAAAGTAAGTAAATAAATAAAGTTAAAGAAAAAGAATTATTAAAAATATATATATACATGATTTTTTTTTTGGAGAGGTTTTTTTTTTCTTTTGCTATAGGGCACCAGAAAGACAGAGAGAGACAGAAAGCGAGAAATCACCCCCAGTGGGGATGGCCACACCGCAATCCCTTCTCCATTCTCCTCTCGGGATCTTGGGCACACACGCACATGCACCTGGTATGAGTTTAAGCCTCCGGTTCGGGACTCAAACTGCAGTCGACTACGTGGGAGTCCAGCGACATAGTCATTACGCTAACTGCTGGTCCCGAATATACGTATATTTAAAAGCACAGAAAAAGTTTAGGAAAATAGCCATTTGCCACAGTGATTAGTTATCTCTGGAGAGAAAGGAGCAACAGAATGAGAAAGAAGATGATCAGCACTCATTACTTGTATTTTTGCCACACAAAATGTTTTCATATATTTCTAGTATAACTTTTCTTTTTTAAGAGAGAGATTTCTGTTATAGGGCACATGTGCTCACTGGAGAGACAGAGAGAAAGTAAGAACTCACTTCCCAGGGGGGTGGCCACGCTGCAATCCCTTCTCCTCCATTCTCTTCCTAGGATTTTGGGCATGCCTGCACAAGTGCCTGGTGTGATTTCTAAGCCGCCAGGTCCAGGACTCAAACCACAGTCGACCATGGAGTCCAGTGCTTTAACCACTACGCCATCCTCTGGCCCCTCTAGTGTGATTTTAAAAGCTAATAAAGATAAATATATCTATCCCCAGTGACAGAGATTTTTAAATCTCTATTACCCTAGGAGTAAATAACCTGGCTGACCTTGAGATCGCAGGTGGTGTTGAGCAGCAGGTTGGAAGGCTTGAGGTCGCGGTGCAGAACGTTAGCTGAATGGATATATTTTAACCCTCTGAGGATCTGATAAAGAAAATAGCAGATATGGTCGTTGCTGAGGTGTTGTGTCTTCAAGAGCTTGTAAAGATCTGTTTCCATGAGATCCTGTACTATATATCTGTTTGGACAGGTTAAGATAAAACACCAAAGAGCAAAGCACTGAAAACAAAATGTACCCACTCGTGACCTTCTTCCTAGTGCATTATTCTATCGTGAGGCCCCCAAGGGGAAGGAGAAACTGATGAGAACTTGTAAACCTTCACACAAGGAGTCTGGAGCGGTTAACTTTTTAGGCTCTGTGAGACGATGAGCACTATACCTACCTGACATGACTGGTTATAGGCCTGGACTGAGACTCAAACGGACTGCTACGGAGATACTGGCCAATCTTGAGGTCTCAACCTCTTTTTTTCCCTAAACTGTCTACCATTAACAAACCCCCTCGGGACCAGCAGTTAGCGTAATGGCTATGTCGCTGGACTCCAACGTAGTCGACCGCGGTTCAAGTCCCAGACCCGGTGGCTTAAATTCACGCTGGGCGCATGTGCGTGCATGCCCAAGATCCCGAGAGGAGAATGGAGGAGAAGGGATTGTGGTGTGGCCATCCCCCCTGGGGGGGTGATTTCTCACTTTCTGTCTCTCTGTCTCTCTCGGTCTTTCTGCCGAGCACACATGCCCTATAGCAAAAGGCTCTCAAAAAAACAAAACAAAACAAAAAAACCCAAACCAAACCAAAACAAACAACAACAACAAAAAACCCTCTAAGGTTGGCTAGAAAAGGCAGGAGAGGGACCAGCAGTTGGTGCAAGGATTATGTCACTGGACTACCACGTAGTCGACCAGTTTGAGTCGTGGACCTGGTAGCTTAAACTCACGCCAGGTGTGTGTCCATGCCCAAGATCCAGAGAGGAGAATGAAAGAGAACGGACTGCGGCATGGCCATCCCCCCGGGGGGTGATTTCTCACTGTCTGTTTCTCTGTCTTCCTGGAGAGCACATGTGCCCTATAGCAAAAACCTCTTTTAAAAAAGAAATGGCAGGAGACAGACCAGCAGATGGCATAATTGTTACATCACTGGACTCCCACAAGGCTGACCACAGTTCGAGTCCCGGACACTGCAGCTTCAAACTCACACCAGATGTGTGCGCCTGGGTGTCCAAAATCCCACGAGGAGAATGGAGAAGGGACTATGACGTGGCCATCCTCCCTGGGGGGTGAATTCTGGCTTTCTGTCTGTCTCTCTCTGGCAAGCACACACACCCTACAGCAAAAATCTCTCTGGAAAAAGAAAGAAAGGAAGGAAGGAAGGAAAGGAGAGAGAGAGAGAGAGAGAGAGAGAGAGAGAGAAGGCGGGAGAGGCGGTGGCCAGCACGCACCATATACTCTCTTCTCTGTGGTCCAGCACTAACTTCCTTCCCCCCCCATCTCCTCAAAAGCCTACCATAGAACTTCAGGAAATACCGGCCCAGAAGCCTGCTGCTGCTACTAACCCCAACTCCCCCCCGCCCACCCCACCCCCGTCTATTTCCCGACTCAATGACCGTGAAGACTAAAGGAGCCCGCGGGGCCATCGCCAGGAGGAGTCTGCTGGTTCTGCTCTTGCTTTCTTGCCTAGTCACGCATCTACCACGGCCACTTCCTCCTCCTGGAGAGGAGTGAAAGCTGTCAGCATTCGCCTCCACCGTATCATTCCATTAGCAGTGTTTCTGCATTTCTTTTCTTCAGTCCTGAGTAGGCACTATTCTCTGTCTCCTACTGTTCGACCTAGAGGAGACAGGGCATGAAATCCCAAGGAAACACTTAAAAACCTGTCTGTCATCTGAAAGAGGCTTGTTTTCATTGCAGAGGGTATGGCGGGACCAACAGGTGGTAGCAGCAGGAGGCATTTCACTTAAAATATCACAACAACTTCTGAACTAAGCCGGTTAAAAATGGAAAGGGCTGCCTGGAGACAGTGAGTTGTTGAGTTGTCTCTCCAGAGGGGCAGGATGCAAATGGGGCGAACTGCTAGGAATGCTGCACAAGCCAGAAGGAGTGGCCCGGTAAGCGCCTCAGTAAGCGCCTCGCTGGCAAAGCCACCTTAGTATGCTTAATACTTCCGAATGGAGCTTTGACCTAGACCGCATCCTCTGCACTTGCTTGGTCCAAATTTCTAAACGTTGGTTGGTCATAACTAATCAGCTAAGTTTAGAGCTGGTTCTGCCTTAAAGATCAGGATGGCCAGTTTTCCCATTTTATTTATGTTTAAGAATTACTGAAGTTTATTTATTTATTTATTTTATTTATTTTATTTTGACCAGAGATGGACAGAGAGAGGGAGGGAGGGTGGGGGGAGAGGAAGTGAGAAAGCAAGCTCCTAGATCGAGGACTTGAAATGCGGTCAGCCATGTGGGAGTCCAGCGCCCTTACCGATCACTCTGCCGGCCCCTGAGTTCTTCCATTTTAGAGATGAGGAAACCGAGACCCAAAGAGGTGAAAGGACACTGCAAGATCAGGGCAGACCAGATGTGACCAGGCAGATATCCAGGTCACCCTCTTAGTCTACTGCTCTTTCATTTTCACCTTAAGAAACCAGCAAATGGCATAATGGCTATGTTGCTGGACTCCCACGTAGTCGACTGTGGCTCGAGTCCCGGACCCGGTGGCTTAAACTCACACTGGGCACATGTGCGTGCATGTCCAGGATCTCAAGAAGAGAATGAAAGAGAATAGGCTGCGGCGTGGTCATCCCCCCTGAGGGGTGATTTCTCACTTTCTGTCTCTGTCTCTTTGGCAAGCACACATGCCCTATAGCAAACCCCTCTCAAAACAAAACAAAACAAAACAAAAAAACCCACACACATCATCACTTAAATCGAAAAATCATTTCTAGAAATGATATTAATCAAGACTGGCCATAACCACACTTACAGAAAATATTTACTGAAACTGACAGAAAAAATGAACTTACCTAAGATAAATTTAGTTACTGATGGCTGATACAATGAATCAGAAAAAACTTAACTGATGCCAAGTATTACAGTAAATGACAGACCCCCCAACCTGCTTTATGCACGTCCCCTCTACTCTAAGCCCAGCAGGTTTTTAACTGCATTTGCTCTACGAGGTGACTACGCAGTGGGTCGGCCGGCTGCCCACAAAGGATACACATCTTTCATCTGCTCGATGGTCGGCGCTCGGATAATGTCATTGATCCCGATGATGTTCTCGTGTCTGAAGCGCAGTAAGATTTTTATCTCCCTCAGGGTCCGCTGGCAGTAGGTCTGGTGCTCGAAGGGACTGATTTTCTTGATTGCTACTCGGACTTTGTTGACATTATCATAAGCAGAGCTAAAAAAATAGAGAGAGAAGCATGAAAACAGCCTTCAGAATTATCTTGGCAGAAAGAATGCAAATTGATAAAATATTACATTTTTAACCATGTGAACACTTGTTTCAGATCTGTGAAGGCAGCATGTTTCAATAACTGGTCCACAGAAAGGCCTCAAAGCTAGGGAGGATAAGGTTGACACAAGACAGCACATGATGAATCTCACACTTAGAGAGCCCAGCTGTAACTGTGCACGCGCCCGTCTTCAAAAACCCACACATATGCACGTATGCCTATACGAAAACAGCGGTTTCCCACTGTCTTAAACAGCAGCCTCATTCCAGAGAGAGCAATCACCTCTGCCTCCAGAACGACCTCCTGCAATTGCTGAATGCACCTGACTCGGCAGCGACAGCCAGTGAGCATCAGCCACCTGGGTCAGCAGCGACGGCCAACGAGCATCAGCCACCTGGGTCGGCAGCAATGGCCAATGAGCATCAGCCACCTGAGTCGGCAGCGACGGGCACAGAGCAACAGGCAACTTCG